GATAGATAGATAGATAGATAGATAGATAGATAGATAGATAGATAGATAGATAGATAGCCAGTAAAATCTGTGACAAAATGTTTACCGGGACAAGGAAGCAAAGCATTCCAATTGAATGTTCGGGGATCGACACTTCAACATTTGATCACACCCACATTTCAGAATGATACGGATGCGGTTTATAATTGCATCCCTGAGGTTGAGCTGACTGACTGATCTACTGACTGTACTTGAGTGAAAACCTAGATATGAGGTATGAACATGTGTTAAGTTAGACTCTCATCATTAGAAGTACCATTTCTTCCTGATGAACACTTTGTAGTATATTAAATAGTTCTCTAATGCGGTGGTTTGCAGTATTTGTAAATATGGTGACAAACTTGACTGAGACTGATAAGTTAAATTCGTATACAGGCCCCCTAATTGTAACTATCTGGAGCCGAGAGCTATTGCAGTGAATGTTTGGATGCGTTCATCATCTAACTGGCTATTAAAGCCTAAATTAGCTCATCACACATTTTATTCGATAATCATTGTGTTTTTAATGCTCCATGCAAATGCCAAGTTTTCGTTCCGTAATAATAAAGTTTTAGTGAAACGTTATGTCAACTGTGGAGATTTTGCCATAGAACAACCTGATCTAAATCCCTATCGATCGAATATTGAATCTAGAGTGTTATTGTGAGCACGTTAGGCAGTGTCAATGCAGCTCAAAAATAGGAACGGCAATTTGACGAATTTCTAAACTCTCCACTCCACTTGATCATTATCCCCAAATATATGGGCCAGGTTGTGAGAGGAGATATCATTGCGTGCTCGTGTGTGCGCGTCTGTGCAAATAATTCATCCAAAAATTGGATTTTACGCACGTTCATAAACGTAACACTTTCAAGAGCAATATGTTCTGCTACTGCTGTTGTTTTTGTTGTTCTTAAACCCTGTTTCTTTCCCTCGTTGATTTCAAAATGTCAAACATCAAGTTGCCCTGATGCCTCTGAAAAATCGAATGGACTAATCCAAACTTTATGCTCTAAAGTGAAACATCACATCTGAACCATTTCCTCTGGTGAATTGGGGTAGTAGCAAACTACTCATTCAACTGAGCGTGAGCCCGCGTTTGTGTGCCGGTGCTAATGTTTCTAGGAGCATGTTCATTTCTTACTTCAAAGTAAACAAAGTGTAACTAAGAAGTTTAAATGGTAAACCACCTCGGCGGTGGGAGGGGGTGAGCTGAATAATATACCTTTTCGGGTAAACATTCGCTTATTCCCAAAGTGGTATTGCTTGCAGTGAAACTTTGGCGTTATTTTGCCTGGGAACGTTCATTGCTCGACGTGCATAAAACAGTCAATCCTTCTGCATAACTAGGAAGAATTCCTGAGAGGAAATCGCGATGCGAGAAGGGGAATAACGGGGGGGGGATATGGATTAGAGCCAAACGGCTTCTGGAAATATGTCCAAAAAGCGTGGATCGTGAAAACACCATGTTCACCTCCGTTCATCTAGAGAGTATTCAGTACTTCCGTTTCACGTGCATTATATATGCTCTCTGGTCTGAGGATACTCTCATTAACCGACAAGTGCTTTTATCAGTGAGCCTTACTTCGTTGTCATGTGCATTGATCTCATGTAAATCTGAAATGAGTACCTTGATTGATACCTGCGATGCAGTGGCGAACGGTCTCCATGGTCAAAAAGTAGCAATAAAACTGGCAGACCTTTTCTGTCAGACATGAAATTGCATTGGTTACAATTGTCTGGTCTTGTATGCATACAGATACAAGGCAGTCAAACCTTGCTCATAAAGATCGCATCAGGCTTCATGGGAAAATACCCCGGGAACAGAATGAGCAATGGTCAGAGACACTCTGTAATAAGGCTGTACCGTAAATCTAAATCTCTCTGCAGCCTAAATCTACCAGAATTTGTTATTTTTCTCTTTGTCAGTGCCCTCAACATTTGAATCCTCTCTTTACTAATTGATATAAACGGTTTGCTACAAAATACCAACTGAAACAATCAAATGTTTGACGATGGTAAACACTGACCTAAACTGAGCGCATATAATTCCGATTTCCCAGTGAACATCATTGGGTTTCACGCACAAAGCTCGATAATTAAAGGCATAACTGATCACTCTGTCTGTCTTTAGTACATCAAGGTGATTTCGTCGCTTGATTTGTTCATTGCTTCTATTACGCAGCCCTGATTCTATGATTAGACCTCTATCAATCAACTGTACACGCTGATTGGACTTTGTAGACGCCCAACCTTTGGTTTCGTGTCGAATCCAACTATAAATCACCTTCAATCAGCTGAATGACTAATTGATCCTAGAGCATCCATCATCAGGCATATTTTGATAAAACCCATGAACCTTAAGCTGTACTCACTCATGTTCAAAAGGTAGAAGTACACAAGTTATTCGCAAAAATTGAAAAAAAGGCATTCACGGTTTTTCGGAGCATGGTTGTACCGTTCTCTGAATTCGTGTCGTGAGTCAACAGACTACTGTGAATTAGCACTGCTGGTGACAAATACTCAGCAAAATCCTTTCACACAGTCTTTAACCATTTGGACAGCAATCCTCCCGAATGCATATGCATAGTAAATAATGATGTGTCCATAAAATGAGCTCAACTATGGCTTCTAGCTGACGGGCACGTGGTTATAGCGATTTACATCAAAATTGAACGTATGCAGTCGCACTAATGTCGTGTCTTTCTGAGAAAGAGCATGTGCAGCAACCTGTTGGTTGACCACAAAAGGAGAAGACGACAGCCATCGGTAACAAAGCCGAAGCAAGCTGTCAGGTATTAAAATCTGGGCACCTGAGTGTACTCCACATGGATCAATTTGACGATTGTTTACTAGGGCTTTTGTTTCGTTGGTCGGCTCTATAATCGTCTGGTCAAGTAATTTGTGATCCATTACTGATTTGCTCCTTTTTTTGTCCACTGATGTACTTGTTGGTTCAAAAATCAGCAATCTTCTATCATAATTTTGATTCAATGCATACACCTGACGGAACCAAGACTAGCGTCCAGACTCGGCTTGAATGAGCAAAAAATGGAAAAAATTCACATTGTGGTTCAATAAACAAATATGCGCAACTGCGATTTAAAAGGGGAAGACTCTTCATTCAAAGAAGTGTATGTAGCACGAGGCAAACAGAATCAAATTGGCGTATGTTTTTGCTTGTTAATAGGAGGAAATGTGCAGGAGCGTTTAGGGTGGTAAGTGCACACCACTTTTGACCAGCTTCTATTTTATTTAAGACACCCTTTGCATGATGATAGCGAACCTGAGTTAATTGACAGCTGTTTATTGAACTTGGTATGGATCGTTGGAAATCGTTGAAGTTGTGGAAACCCGTCCCCACTACAGAGAAAAGGATGGAATTAGGTCAATTACAGGAAACAGTATCTAAACCTACTACCACCACCACTACTAGTACTAGTACTATTATGGTTATGCTTGGCGGGGGAATGATGGACATTGCTTTGCTTGCCCAAACGTATAGGGACAAACATTCTTGATAATAATCCCAAATGAAATATAAGGGGCTGGTGCCTTACGGTTTTCGGCAATTACTAGGATGGCTTTTGGATTTTTTGACGATACAGCAAAACAAACACGGACGTGAATGAAATTGAACTTTAGTTGAACTTATATAAACATATGTACAAAGCTATTCACATGAAAAATTCTGGAGAAAATAAAAAACCCGCTCACATCCAGTCAAATTCTAAGCGCATGGAGCAGTAGCATGATGAGATACCGTAAGCTTGCTTTCTATAAAAACAACAATAAAAAGCATCGAACTAGTCTGCGGGAAATATAAGCATCAAATGACGGCACGTTATGGGTCAATCATGACAACTATCTGAATACTAATTCGGTGATTATTTTTACTACACCGGAGGAATTTCATTCACCGGGGAAAATTGTTAGACATGTAATTTAGAGGCCACCATTCTCCTCAGTCATGTCACACATGAAATTTTGAACAATAGACACTGAACATAATGAAATGATTTAAATATTGGTGGTTTGAAACAAACAAACGTTTCCTCACTGATTGTTGATGCTACAGTGTGTGTGCGAGTAGGGAAATAGCTAGATCACAAAACGATATAAATGGCTCCGAGCCGTTTCATCACTTGATTCTTGCATGCCAGATGTATTTAGCAGTAACACAAACCCGGGAGGAATGGTAATCTACCTTTGTTAAAAATAATCAATAGCCCTTTGCAGGTCGTTTCATCAGAATGAAATTGAAAAAAACATCCTTCAGTTTAGCTCCACAAACAAAACGGATTATCTTCCATTTTCTAGAGGAAATTAATATTTCCTTGATTCCGGTTGCAAGAAGATGACTCGTATTACCGGATAATGAAACTGAAAATATATTTTCGTTAGCTGACGGAATTTCATTAAATAAGGTGACCGTCTAAGAAACGATAGAATACGCGATTTGTGTATCCTTGAAAATATTTTAGGCGTAAAACATGTAAAAGCATTGTTAAACAAAGACCATATTTCTATTCATTTCAATGCGATATCTCTCTCTCCACACCTGTTCGATGAAGGCACATTGTATTGACTTCTCCGCATGAGCGATTTCCGGTCCGCCTTTCGAATTCTCCGTTTCTTTGTCTTTTCCTGACAGATGTGCACAAGTGCTGGTATGACTCGATTTGCTCCCTCAGTAAGACTGATACCCTTCACTGGATCTCATCCGTTGAATCAGGACTCAGTACCTAATACTTCACTGTCAAACCGATCTAGATAGTGAAATGGGTTTCACTTCATTGTCGCGTATAACTTTTAAACTTAGTGATCGGATCAGCCCGGAAGTTTTGAAATTTACTTGGGGACGAAAGTGAGCTTGGAACGCAATCCTTTGTAGTTGGGCGTGATTAACTCAAAGAAATAGCAGATTAGAACACAGAAAAAGGTAAACAATTTTACTGAATCCAACCGTTTTTCCAAAACCATCAATGACTTAAACGGGTAGAATAGATGCCGGTCGGTAAGTCTCTTTTTATCTTCAAATAATCAGAACAAGCACAACGTGCACAGGTGCTACAAATAACAAAAGCAAACCAACGTGTTACAGATCCTTCTAGAAAAATCATACTTAGGGGGTTTAGTCGTATCCTTAACTTTATTTCATGCTAATAGAACATTATTGATGATCTCATTCACTAGATCACGAGAAGTATTCAACAGATTGTTGTCATTATACCGATTTAAAACGAGGATAATCAGCTAATTCCTCACAGACATAAATGGCTGCTAAATTGAAAATAATGTTGGGATATCAAAGGGTAGCCGGTAGAATCGTAGACAAAAGCAAGTGATTTGTTGTTTATTAAATATAGCTAAATTTTACCATCTGATACCTATCCGAATGAAACAAGCTTGGGAAGTAAAATTTCTGATTAATCATAATTCTCTTATTCCTTCTCTAGGAACCAGTGCTGAATGAAGATGTCACTATCGTCTTCTTGAATGCAGTTTTCTGTCGTTTTTTATTTAACCTATTCACACTTTGATGTCATCCCCCCTCCCCCCGATTCCACTGTACTATCGCTGAAAATTCACTCTCCGGGCGCATAAAGCTTACTTTGACTTGACTGACTTGACTTGCTACGAAGACTTTCTACAATTTCACACAGCGAGGAGTGATAATGCTATCATTGATATTTCAAACTGAACTCACCTCTGTACAAATTTTGTCAAAGTCCGAATTCTGNAGTCAGACATGTGGCTGGTGTGGTCGGTGTGTGCACTTCGTTCGGACTATCTATCACTGAGGCGGGGCACACAGTGTGGCGGGGCCTTGTCCGAAATTCATCTTCGAAGAGCACACCAGTGGTGGAGTTTTTGTTCCGCTCATCCATAATTATTCCGGTGAAAGGGGCCTGGTATGACCCAGAACTACCTTTAGTGCCCAGTTCCACATCCGCGACCCGATCACATCTCGATGGCCTGAGCTGGTCTGGTCCATCGATTGTGGTCGGTGATTCCGGCGGACTGTCGCCGAGACCATCACCACCGGAATCGGTTTCACACTTCTCTTCCGATTCCGTTTCACGATGATAGAAATAGTTGAAATTAGACACGATCACAGGCACTGGCAAGGCAATCGTCAACACTCCGGCAATTGCACACAACGATCCGATCAATTTGCCCCAAACGGTAACCGGACGCATATCCCCGTAACCAACTGTAGTCATAGTGACCACAGCCCACCAGAATCCGTCCGGGATACTGCGGAACAGTGAGGTATCCGCGTCTGCCTCGGCAAAATACACGGCCGAGGAGAACAGAATAACACAGATGAGCAGGAAAAATACCAGCAGACCCAGTTCTCGTACACTAGCACGTAATGTTTGACCGAGAATTTGTAATCCCTTTGAATGGCGTGAAAGTTTGAAAATACGAAAGACACGGACCAATCGTATAACACGAAGTACGGCCAACGAGGTGGTCTGATTTTGTCGTTTTGGATCGTCAATAATCACCGCTCCAACTGTGATAAAGTAGGGGATAATGGAGACCACGTCGATCACATTCATGATTACTTTGAAAAACTGTAGTTTTTTCGGTGCTGAAGCGAACCGAATGAGCAGTTCACAACTGAACCAGATAATGCAGAACGTTTCGACCGCAAAAAACGGTTGATCAATTGTGGGCAAATCATCCTCCTCTATGGTAATCCGATCATCTTGTGAGTTCGATTCGGTTTGGTTCACTATACGATATTGTCGGAAATGGGGTAAAGTTTCCACACAAAATATGATAATAGACAGAAGAATCACAAACACAGATCCGATAGCCAAAAACCGGGCGGCTAACGAACTCTCTGGGTATTCGAACAGAAGCCACACCTTGCGTTGAAATTTATTCCTTGGCAACACTTTGGGTTCTTCCTTGATAAAACCCTCCTCTTCACGATATTTGGCCAAAGCTTCATCACCGAGCTCATAAAATTTAATTTCTTCAGTGAATACATCGATGGGCACATTAACCGGACGACGTAATCGGCCCCCACTTTGATAGAAATATAAAATTCCATCGAAACTGGATCGATTACGATCGAAGAAATATTCATTGCGTAACGGGTCGTAGTATCGATCCCTTTTGCGTGGATTCCCGAGCAACGTGTCCGGGAACTGATTCACCGTTTGCAGCTGCGTTTCAAACCGCAAGCCGCTTACATTGATCACTAGACGTTCTGTGCCCAACGATTGATCACATGTACCGGATAGTGTGCCTTCCTCGTTTTCTTCTTCATGCGTTTCTTCCAGGTTTCGATTCAACCTGAAACAGAGAAGCAATGTCACCAAATCATAAGCATCACATTGTTATGTATGTAAATTCTCTCTTGAGTTTGAATACGGAGGTCAGATCAACTTACCTACGGTTCCACAGAGCAAATGTTCCGTAGGGAATTAGGAGACTGGATGCTGTTCCAGAAAGCGTAGACATATAGTGCAGTAATATTCACACATTATATGAACCTATTCTTTGGATTAAGCAGAAAAAATGTCAGATACTGTGTGCGAGCCACTTTTTCACTCAATATCCTAATAGCATGCTCTTCTGACTCACTTGGGGAACACTCACATACACGAACGGACTCAGTCACTCACATGCACACGGGTGTACACACACGCACACAAATTTAGCCAGTCTCCGATTTGACTCGCATGAATTAAGGTTCTGTCATTCCATGATCCATGTGGCCCAAACAGGATCGATTTTGTGTGCGAGGATCATGACAAAATTCAAGAACTGTCTTCTGCATTTTGCGGTATCGACCTTCCCCCGAAGCAGGCACAACGGCGTACAGGAGATAGACACACGAATGCACACACGCTGGCTAGTCGACTACTACCGTCGGTTCTCCTGTCTGTGGTGGATGCACGCACGTCTGTATGTGTGTGTGCGTTTGTGTGCTTGTAGAGTACTATGTGTGTGTGTGTGTGTGTGTACAGTGGCGGTGGCGGGCATTTGTGCGTACTTTAGGGGTCAAGCCCGTATAATTCAGCTGTAAACATAAGGCTTTTCAGCTGTGGCCAATCAGGTGGTTTGATCCCGGGTTGTGTGCGCGCACGCATACGCATGACTTGCAATTTCGTGCCTGTAGCTGTCAGATTGGTTCAAAACAGACTGGGTTCAGCCAATCCTCATTCGGCATAGTGGTCGCACCAGCAAGACTTAAAAATGCTGAAAATTATAATGGCTCGATTGGCTACCATAATCCGTATCAGACCCCATTGCCAGTCAGTCTGTCGATCCGAAATCCTCGGGCTAACGGAACTTCAGTTTTCCGTGGTCACCTATACATCAACCACGAATTCTACCAGGCAAGCAATACTCAAATACCATATTTGTCTGGAAAATGGCTACGGAAGATCACGGGGTTATAGATCCCCCCTCCCCAAATAAGGATGATCGGCTGCAATCACACAAAACTGCATTGTTTTGTGCTAAGGTGCAACCACAGAGGACCAATACGGCACCAGGTGAAAACCAATTAAGAAGGATATTTAGGCTTTTTTCATGATAAACTGTCGACTACCTGTACTTGTCCATAGTGCTCAGACTGACGGTGCTGGAATACGCAAATAGACAAAAGTCAATACAATGTGACTAAATGAGAATAGTTGTACTACAGACTTTTTCTAAGTATACCGTCCGTCATGTGACGGTTGCATCGTTTACATGCTTCGGATGCACACGCAAACAGGCACATATGGTATTCTTATCTTTCTCTCCTCCTACAGGACCTTTGTTACTTACAAACCGAAGGCGGAATCTAAATTCTTGGGACCTGATGGAACCATTCCATCCTCTCTAGTAGGCTGGTACGCCTTGAAGTTTTTTTGTCTATGGAGCAGTGTCTGTTTCCGACGAATTGGTAAGTGGTAACCCCGTTTTAGTAAAATGCCCCTCCAGCGAATGTCAGTAGCTCAGGCGTGGGTTAAACCTGTGCCATTATGTTCTAAGTTGTTAATCCTACCGCTTTGCAAGTCAACTTTGTAGAAAACAAATCTCAGGAGTGTCCAACTCTTGCGCCATCTTGCTTGGAGTGAGATTTGATGCACCAGGTGACCAGTAGCAAAATTTTTTTAACCCCGGCATCTTTTTATATTTTGTTATTCATCTTCATCTGGCAAGGAAAGATAGAAAGTATTAGGGATTTTAAAGTGATCCATGGACTGGTGAGCTTTCAAGAATCCTGCAATATCTTCAAAAATTAGACAGTGTATCGTTGGCATATGGTCCAAAGGAAAACGGTTATTGGTAGATATAGATATGCGCGTTGTCTTTTTTCATTAAACCGGTTTTTGAACCTCCCGTTGCTTGGAATCATAGACGGTCTACCTTATACAGGTAACCTCAAAAACCGCAGATGGATCCGCGACCTTCAAAGTTACGTACTCCCACAAATGATTGTTCTTGTAATATCAATTTTGTATACTGCCGAAATGCATGCTTCGAGCATGAAATTAAAATTGTGAACATTCAGTTTCCCTTTGGTAAAAACCAAAAGAATCTATGTAACGCTAAAACTAGTAGCAGCTGTCTACAGAATCTGGCCAACTGTGGGGGAGATCTCGTGTACAATTCCCATTTAGTTAGTCAAATTGTGGTTGATTCCGCTAGCCTGAGAAATGTTATCGCCTTTTAACTTACAGTTACTTGTGAGTAACGATGTTGTATAATTATTGTTGATTTTGATTGACCATCCTTCGCAATTCATCTTCACGTACAATACTCGGCTTATTCCAACCGTTAGACATTCAGAAAAACGTTTCGGGATTTGCAATACCCGTACGAGGTGAATATAATCAAGCAAGGAAACCGTAAACTGTAATCTATTGTGAATCGTATTCAGTGACGGCGACTCACATAACCAAATATCAACGGCTGAGGATAGCTTTCAAGCCATATGTCACTACACTTGGACTGTAAGGATGGAGCTCAGTCGATGTCACTGGAGGGCGATGATTTTCTACGACTACAAATGTGGTTTAAAGCAGGAGCTGAGTGTTTATTGTTTGCGAGCTGTCTAGGGTGATGATGCACCTTCGATAAGTTTTGTGTTTGAGTGATTTGCGGAATTCATGTATGGAAGGTGGTTCCTGGATTGTGAAACACGGCAATTTGGACCTGTGGAAGCCATCAGAGCGGAAAACGTTGCTGCTGTGCAAGCGATGGTAGAGGAGGATGCACGAGTGACAGTGGCACAACTGGCGAAAGCCATTGGGATCTCACCGGGATCAGTCTGCACCAGCTTACATGAGAAACTCGGTCTCTGAAAGTTTAACGCTGGCTGGGTACCCCATCAGCTCATACAGGAACAGAAAGCAGCTGGGGTGAATTGGTTCTATACCATCCTTGCCATATTTCATGGTGAACCTTCCAATACAGTTTAGAAGATCATCAGTAGGGATGTAACCTGGGTGTACAGTTTCGACCCAGAGCCAAGTAATAATCGGCTCAGTGTACACCTGTTGGTGGGCTCCTCCTTATGGCACAGTGAGGAAAAGCAAATATTGGGTGTGTTCATAACCAAAAGCAGTCTTGTGGCTATTCTATTGCTCGTACAGCAAAGCACAGTCATCCAGGGATTGGTACGCCACCCACGGTCTGGAAGCTGTTGTCAGGCTTAGTCTAAGGAATCGAGCAGGAAGAAACGTGTTGCATCATGACAACGCACCTGCACACATGTCCCATGTCGTCAGCTATTTTCTGGCTAGAGGACGCATCCAGAAGGTTGGTCACTTACCCTATATTTCAGACCTGCCTCAGTGTGAGGTTTTATGTTTCCAAATGTCAAGCGCACGATACGTGGAATCCGATATGAGTTACCGCAGTAGAGGCCACCATTGAACTAGTCGAAGGATTATTCGCTTCGGGGGAAAGCGTTGCACTCAGTCATTATACTTAGCTTGGTTCTGTTCTGAGGTCACGTTAAATAGGCTTAAATAGGCT